TGCCCAACCCATTTCCCAGCCTGCTATTAGCAACCATATTTACTCTCCAAGCAGCACCAGGCAAACCACGGGCTTGAGCTCCGCAATATTTGTCAATAAATCATTTTACACAATTCCTTGAGTGGCAGTTTTATCAAGACAGAAATAAAAGATCACTAGTCTGTCATCAGTGCAAACAGACATTACCGTCATCCCCAGAGTGCCCAAGGCCTTCTGTCTCATCGCCATGGCCATACGCTTCTTCTCTGCACGTGTCTCCTTCCGGGCAGCGTCGATCTTCTTATTCACCTCTGGATGTTCCCTTAGTGCCTCCAGAAGATTCTCTGCTAACGTCCCAATCCCTTCATCACTAGACACCTGCTCCAGTTTATGCAGGTTGGTAATCGAGTCTGTACCTATTAGCACCTAACAGGGATCGAAACACAGCATTTTCTTCAGAAAAAGGGTGCACATGACAGTAACTGCTCCCCCTAATCCCACCCAAGCCAGCTGAGCAGAAGCACTGATCTGCAACAATCTTTCCCAAGCATCTTTCTTCTTCGATGCTCCTACATTATGGATGCTGGACCCTAAAACTGTGGACAAGACTGGGGTAATCTGCCTCTACACTGGATGTTGGACAATGAGAATTCTTAAAAAAGTGATCAGGCCCTGTCAATACTATACAGTTCATAGTCCTAAATTACCTTCTCTTCACATTGGTGTGTAAATCTCACACCACACAGAATGTGAGAAGGTATTGAAGTTAAAATCTCTGCCCTCCAGACTTTTCCAGACAGGTAGATGATACCTGAAGCTGGTGTGTCTCTCCAAGCCCAACAAAAAACAGTAGAGAATCAACTACTACAGAAATAATTGCTTAGCTAAGGCCACAAAAAGCAGGGTAACAAGCCAGCCATGTCCTACTTGGCTTTCAGAACAGCCTCCTTACCTGTGTGGCAGGGTGCTGTGTGGCAAGTCCTCGGAGCAGGCGCAGGATAAAAGGAAGTGCAGGTCGAGATAAGAATTTCTTCCATATGTCTGCATCCAAACTGCACAGAAAACAAGAAGCAGCAGCTGAAGGGCAGTCACCCATTCTGAAAAGGCACTTGGCAGACAGCCAGCAGCACAGCTTGCAGAGCAAAGGCTACAGGCAAGACAAGCACCCTTCCCCCTGTGACCCTCCTCCATTAATTAATGAAGTGACATTCACACTCCCATTTCCACCTTGTGCACACTAATAGCCACAGTGTTAACCCTCAGCCTTGGGCTGTGTTTTATGTTCATGAGCTGGCCATCAATAGCAAAAACTCTTAATTATTACAGTGCAATAGGTAGGGAACGGGCAGGAAACACAAGCATTGTGGTAGCCAAGAAATCAGCTCGGATGAGTATCAAATGGGAAGATGACAAGGCTTTTCAGCCCATCTCTGTAGCAGCACTGCCTCACCAGGCCCTCTGCATCACAGATGTACCAAAGCAAAACAATGTGGACTTGTTAATGGCTTTCTTGGAAGACTGTTATGATGATAAAATGAGAGAAGGATGTCCAGAATTATCAAATACATTAAGTAGTGACTCTTACTTCTTTGCACTGGGAATGTGCTTTTTCATGTAGTCAAGGGCATTCTGTGTAATTCCCTTCTGAAGGATGAGATCTTTCAGCTGATGGCCGTTGCTGTTGTTCTTTATTCCCGCTGCTATTTTACAGAAACAGTCGAGGAAAACTTTATCATCTCCACTGTGCTCCTCATCATACCTGGACACAGAGAAGAAAAGGTAACTTGGAGGCTCTCCAAAAAGCTCTGCCTGTAATTCTCATTATATTATCACTGAATGCACGTACTTACTCCAGCTCAGAGACTCAGAAAAGCTACTCAGATCCTTGTCATCTCAGAATATACTTTAAAGCCCTATTTCTCGAGCTACACGCTCATGTATTTCTTTTAAAAATGGCTTAGAAGTGAAATAGGAAATTAAAGCTTATGCACTAGGAACCTCTGAAGCTTTGCATTACACTGAAGTAAGCATCGATGAGGAGAAAAAAAAAA